TGCTTTTTGCCAAACTCACTACCTGCTGCGCCTTCAGGGGTCTCTTCCTCCCCATATATCTTCCGAGCACTCATATCTCTTTCCATACGAGCCTGGGGAAAGGAGAAAGAGTAATGGAAAAGTGAAAAAAAAAACAAAACCCAACCTACTCATTCCTAAATTTATCACATCTTTCTCGCTCTCTCTTTTTTGTTTAAGGCGAATAAGACTGGCTGATATTCCTTTCTCATATCAACTCTAGCTCGGTCACACTGAAAACCTAAGCTTTGTCTGTGAGGTGTAGTTAAAGTATGAAGCCCACCTGTGTCCATGTTGAACAGTTGACTCTGTCCCCTGCATTGAAAGCCATTATATTGTACTTCTTGCTGGTGTTTCTATGCAAAGAAAAAAAAAAGAAGAATATAGTGAGTTATTGTGCAACATAACTGAGCTCAATTCATTTGCGTCACAATCATCTTCTAATAGTCATGCACATACATGTCTTCAAGTGACACCTAGAATGACCAAAACACGCATGAACACATGCAAAACAGTGACATAAGGCAAGTCCTGTGCACACAAATCTCTTTGGATATTTACATGTGTTACTCACTTGGGGACACGCACGGTGTATTCTGTGGTTGAGGTGCTGCTGCTGCTTCCCTGTAAGAGAAAAAGTGTTCCTGTTGGAAGCCTGTCACATTTGAATAATGTGCACACCATGAAAGCCATGTCGGACCAGTACAGCTCAAAAGTCTTGAGTCTCTTCCTTTATATTTACAAGTAAAATGGAAATGCAATAACTTACTCAAACCACATAAGGTAAAAATGGAGTTTGTACAATTGTAACAAAACTTTTTAAGTCAATATTTGGTATAATTTGCTTAATTCTTCAACACAGCCTGAACTCTCTTATGCAAGCTTTCTTGTCATTTCTTCCAAGATGTCTTCTGTAATAGTTCCCCAGGCTTCCAGAAGAACGTCCAAAGCTCATTTTTTTGACAACAAACCAAATCAGACACTTAAATCACTGCCAACCTGCTAAACATGGACAATGTAAAGAGGACCACAAAGGATCAAAGCATTTTCAAGGACGACTATGGAGACAAATAAAAGCGAGAAAAGCATTGGAAAAAGTGAATATTTTTTTGCATCTGCTGTCGATGTAGTTTTTAGAAAGACCGTTTTTAGAAAGAGAAAAAAGAGAAAAGAGAAAAAAAAATGGGAAAATGGAATTAGCCAAACTGAAATGAGCCGAACTGTAATGAGGTACAACACTGGATAATCTTTTGTGTTACCTGCCTCTTTCATGCTTGAATGATAGGTCAGTGTTAAGTGGTTGACAAACAAACCGACCAACAAAAAAACAAAAAACAAAAACACTCCTCTGAAAATAATTAGGTGCAAGGACTGGACTGTCCAATGAATTTACGAAGCAGCCAAAGAAAACTCCCTCAGAAAGCCCGGAGAACTGTTTCCAAAGACCACTTAAAAATACAATTAATTCTGGCTACTTGGAAAAAAAAACATGGAGAAATGAGGGATGGCTCAAGACTTTTGCACAGTACTGTAGATTCACGGCATTAAACATAGCACAAGAGTGGATCAAATTATCAAAAGAAAATAAAGACAAACTTTTGTGTTGTCAAATCAAAGCTTACCAGTGATGTCATGGTTGGTTGTCAGTCTCTGGATTTACGACACCACATCAACAGTTGCTTTAGGCGAGGTGGACACACTGTTACGAAAACAGAGTAATGATACTAATAAGATAATACATAATAATATATAATTCAGTCAGTTTGTGTTTATTTTTAACTCAGATTATCCAGCTGAGAAACAGAACCGAAAAGGTCTGAAGGTACGATATCCCTGCACGAAGACATTCGAATAATGCTTTATAAGCGTTTTCAGCAAGTTATGACAATTTTAAGATTAAAACAAACGCGGCAGAATAAAGGAAACCTATCCCCCTTCCATGACTCATTTGTAATATTACAAGAAAGACTGACTAAAGTTAAATTAGGCTACAGTTATGCGAAACGAGGTCTAACTTATGTTTATATCTTTGTACGTTAGCTTTAGCAGCACCACATTTTGCAAGCAGCTGTAGCTGCGGTCTGTAGCTAACTGTGAAAACAAGCAAGACCACTGTAAAACCATGAGACCTATTCATCTTCGACCAATGCAAAAACTATTAGAAATTAAAAAGACTAAATATGAAATATCTGCTCATAAATGATCATATACCGTCTTACCGCTGTGTGCACTCCAATTGCACTTGTTCCGTTTGCCTCTATGGTCAACAGGAAACATTTACTGTAGACATTGGTTCCTACCAGTCCCTTTGAAGGGTTCCGCTTGTCCCCTTCTATTCACCAGTTTATCTTGTTTAAGAGTTTCTGCCACCCCACTACTCATCCACCGAGGTAAATATTTCCAGAAAGTGGCACTACCTGTAACGCAACATTTACAAACACGCGTGTAAGATGATATCCACAATCTGCACTAATAAACTAGTAAAATGTGTGTTTTAGGGTTTTATTAGTTTTAAATGTTTATTTTGTGAATAAATGCAATTTGCCTGTGTGAGAAGCAATTAAAGAGACATAAAGTATTCCTCATAGTACCTGTATGTTAATAGCATTTAGTGTGTAACAGAGGATTTAGCGAGTGATTACAATGATAGCCTGCTCTGTGGAGCAGTTTAATTCAACCCTGTTTCATTTATATTAGATATACATTATGTATATATATACATTATATATATATACATACACAATATTAGAGACAAAAGAAACCCAAGAATGTGTCACATGTGCTTGAATTGCAGGTTCTGACTATAACAAGAACATACCTTGACATGGGCCTTAGAACACGTGTACGAATTTGTCCTATATATGCACGATACAGTGCATAAGATAAGCAGTGATTAAATAATGGGCTACTTTACTTTCTACTGCAATCCTAGAACATGTCTGCTACAAATGGTGCACAGTGACTGTATTTTTTTTATCATCTTCAATTTGTATTTGCATTATTTCTTTGCATGTTTAAGGCAGGATTAACTTTTTTGGGAAGCAATTCAAATTTCACAGTGTGGGCTACAAGTAGTCAGGACTGACGAGCAGATGTCATTGACACACGATGTTTCATATGATGATGATTTACTTTGCTTTGTCACTTCTACTTGGTATGTAATTTTCTGTTTTCATTCGATTCAAAATAGAACCTGAAAGCAGAAAAAAAATCTAGTTTTGTTTTTAATGAAAAAAGCTCTTTTTGATTAAAATTGTATGTTGCCTTTGATAAATGTTCTGTTGGCAGTCCTAAAGAAAAATACATCTGAACATACGCTTTTGGTAACCCTCAAAAAAATTATTATAGCAAATATTTGACCACTCTTTTGCATTTGCATGGACCCGGCTTTAAAGCGTAGTCCACATATTTTTAGTAGACTTGAGGTCAGGGCTTTGGGAAGCTCATTCCAGAAGCTTTATGGATCATTTCTCAACAACTGCAGATTCCAAGATCAAACAATTTTATGGAAGTACAAGTTATTGTGCTGTGTCATTACTTTGCCAAGTTTTGAAAGAAGACACACTGTGAACCCAAGATGAGGGGACATTGATTAGGATGTGTAGAAACAAGTGAGGAACCACCATGTATTCATGTGTGTGTATGTTATATATAAAGCAATAACACATCAACAAAATGCTTGTTTTTTTATGAATAGGTGTGAATGTGAAAATGAGGCAAGTTGTATAAAGTGCTTTAAGTTGTCAGGTAGAGTAGAAAAGCACTATATAAGACTCAGTCCATATAGGTGGATGAGGATTGTTGTAGTTATTTTTATGACTGTTTTGATTAGCATTTATTTTGTCACCTGGAGAGCATACTTAAACTTGCAAACACAGCCCATCTTTCCATGCCGTGTGCACTACATTAATATATCCTTTGTCATGTTCCTTAATGTATTCTACTAAAAAAGAAAAATTATACAGTCTTGGAGGCATTCCTCAGTTTGATTCAAGTGTAAAAATGAAGTTGGTATGTGACATTATAGAGATGGTAACGTGAATGATTACTTTTCAATAGTATAACAATTTAACAGTAATTTTTAAGATTAATTAAACATTTCTATAACTTCTTATCTTCTTTGTTTCAGGTTTGCTTGTGATACCTGTTATTACTGCGTTTCCACCTGGTATGAACAAATAAATAGCCAATATATGTGATTTAAAATCACCATAAAGTGATAAATTATGTGTGATAATTATTGTACATATTTGATTTGCATTGTGCAGGTTCTTGTGATGGATACACCAATATAACTCAGTCGTGGCGCAATCGGGGATTTGACGCTGGTTATTTTGGTACCACTCTTGTCAATGACCAGCAGCTTCTTAACAAATGGTGGCGCTTTACAGGGATTGGTGGAGACAGAGTTATTATTAATTGTGTATCCCATTATCGTGGTGGCACATGGGGTTCTCTTTTTATTTCATCACCTTATCCAACCACTGAGTCTCTGACACCAACAACAGTAACTGCATATGGCTTCTATTATCAGTGTACTGACAGGTCCGCTGTAGTGAATATAGCTCTCTGTCCTGGAGGATTCTACGTGTATCAACCAATGAGTTACCCATATTCCCAGCAAGGATATGCGACCTGTGAGTAGTAACTAATTCTTGTTACCATGCTTCTGTTCATTTTTACTGCTAAAATAGAAATCTTAGCTTGAATCCCTTTTTCAAATATTCAGAAATCATTCATTCATTCATTCTTCTCTTGGTAGAGGTGGATGCATCTTTTCCCCCTCTCCCTCCCTTATCTTTCCCTGCTTGGCTTCTATGTTCTTTTCCAGTCTTGTCTAACTCTAACCCTCAGAGAGTCTCTCAGTCTTGTTCTGGATTTGATCAACTAGTCCCTTAATGAAACTGACACTGCTTGATGGTCAGTTGTGTCGTGTGCCTGGCGACACTCTCAATGGGGGACATTGAACAAGATGTGGAAAAATGATAACAGAGTTTTCGCTGTTTGGAGCTGGTTCGGACCTGGCTTATCGAAGAACAAAGAAAGCGATTACAGCTGTTCAAAACCCCATAAGGCTGGCCAACATGACTGACGATGGGCAAGCTGTGAGTACTCAGACTGTGTTTATTGAACACAATATTGATAAGATCTTGGAAAAGCTCATGGCTCCTCAATGGGAATTGAGAGACTTGATGACCAGTGATGGACATTTAGACCAACTGTGAAACTGGAATGCAGTTGTTCGTTCGAACCCAAACAACCATGTCCTTCATGCAGCTATCCAAGGCCAAGACTGGCCAGAACAACAATTCTCCCTGATAAGAGGACTGTATTATGACTGTCTGCTCCTATCCCTTAAGGTCACCTATGTCAGGTGGAGGAATGTTGACTTTTGCTTGACCGGGTGAAAGGACTCTCGCTCTCAAGTTGAACACTCCCTCCCCCCTCCCAATGCCTCCGTACGCTTACTCCCACCCGAAGTAGACAGGCGGACCTGTCCAACACCGGACCAGGCTGCTGTTTATATGGGCTAACTCTTGACTTTTTTCGTACCTCTCTGATCTTTCTTCCCAATGTTTTGCTTGTGTATTCTATGTATGGTCAGAAGGGGTGCTCATGATGGCGCCGGATCATCTGGCAGCCTGTAAAACAATTTCCCTCAGGATAAATAAAGTATTATCAATCAATCAATATCAATTCTAAATTGCTGAAGTTAGTTATCTGCAGTGCTGAAAGTACTTTAACTGGCATGGTTTCCAGGCCTAAGCTCAGTTGGCTGGTCACATGACTTGCAGACTAGGAGAGAGGAGTGCACATTGGTGTGATCAAACAAGTGAGGCAAAAAAACTGAAGTGATTAAATCACACACACACACACACACACACACACACACACACACACACAC